ATATTTCTTTGGCTTTCCACTTTGAATTTTTATTCTTTCAAAAAATAGAAGATTTACTGTTATGCAGACTACTGCATCAGTGTAGAAATGGTATAAATAATATCAGCGCACTTGGGAAAGAATATTAGACTCACCAGTTGACGTGCATTGGACACTTGGCGTGATTTGTTTACTTTTGAACTTTGGTAAAAATTGAGCATTTCTGCTACTTTGAGCTCAATTTCAAGGTACTTTTCATTGTAAAACCAGTCAAAATCATCCCAATTTCTGTAATATGTCTTCCATTCTATAAAATGAGACCAGGAAAACTAGAATACAACAAAAAATACCATACAAAAATACAGTGCAAAGTCCCTGTTTTAATCCAAAAACACGGTCAAAGTTTTTTTTTTTTCTCATGACGCACTGTGTGCTGCAGGATTTTTTTTATACTGCGCACACTGACCACATAGACCCATTCTTTCATATGTAGGCCTACCAGCTTTCTCTCACTAGATTTGAGAGTGCTAGAATTTAGGCGTACTAGTACATCAAAAACCCTGGAGCGTAAGCCGTACTAGTACGGCCGAAACCCTGAAAGGGTTAATGGTAACAGTTACTGTAGACAATTTACAATTTCATCCAATCAAAGTTGTTTCATGTACATGTATCCCTCACTTTATATGGATTCACTCTGTGCAGTTTCACTTACTTGCTGCAACCCTATTTCTATCAGAAATTTGCTATATGCTGCAAAAATTCACTGTTATGTGATTGCAAGATTGGAATGAGTGGTGGTTGTGCATTTTCACTTGTATGCGATCAGCCAAACACAGCACCATTTAATTATCTTACCAGTGTCAAATTAATTATCCCTCTAAACTGATTTACGCTGACATTCATAAGAAAGGCATTAATAGAAAGAAAACAAATTTTGGCATGGTAAATCCAGTGAGCACATGTAGTGTGCTGAAGGTAGTGGTAAGTGCAAGGGATGGTGTTGTATGATGTCCCCACACCTCGCCCACTAAACATGTCTAAAACATGTGAGCTCTTTTCTCCCCCCTCCTGTACTAACAAAGTAAATAATAAAGTATGCAATGAAACTAAGAGAAGCAGTAAGGTAGTAAATATGCAAGTGAGGGAGTGAATCAGTAAAGCATGCTGGGAGACAGTGAATCTGTAAAGGAAACCATGAGAAAAATAGGAAGTGAATCACTTATGGAGGCAGGGATGCAGTGAATTAGTGAGGGAGAGAGTGAGCAGAGAGGCAGTGAGGGACTCGACTACCAGCTAGGCCTGGGGCCTTCTTACTTGGAACCCAGACAACCCACTTCTCATACCTCCCCACTCAGCAGGGCTGAGGCCACCCTCCCTAGCTCACTACCCACCACTATCCCTGACCAACCAATGGCCCCTGTCTTGCCAACTAATCATGTGATGACAAAATGTAAATAACAAATCTACAGTTCTTGATAAAATTTACCATAAAAAATGTGAGCTCTTAACACATATATAAACATTCAAAAGCATGAGTGCATTTGGTAAACAACTGAGAAATAAAGTAATATACAGTAGGACCCCACTTATACAGCATGTTAGGTTCCAGGCTACCACTGAAAGCAGAATGCCATTTTTTCCACTTATAAATGCATATAAATGCCAGATAACAAGTTTATATTACATATATTAATTTAGCAGTAGAACTAGGCATTAAAAACAATAAAAAGTAAAATACACACACAGTACACTCATTACTTACCTTAAAATATTTGTAGTTTTAATGTAGGGTGAGAGGTGAATAAACGAGGTAAAATGAATAAACGAGAGAGAGAGAGAGAGAACGAGTAAATGAGAGAAGAGAGACGTTGAGTATGTAAGCAAGCAGACGAATGCGTCTGGTTTTGGGTCATACACCTTCATCTACATGTTACATCTCATATTTGTTAATTTATTCTACTGTGGGGTGTATTTATCATATTTGTTATGTAGCACGTTTATTATATAATTTTGAAAAAAATATCATAGATGAATTAATGAAAATGCTTATATTAACATAACCTACGACATTTAATGTACTGAGTGATTATTATTCCATATTATTATCATCATTATTAATATGGTGTCCTCAAGACTAATAAGACACTCTTAGTGATTTTAATGTGTACCTGCACGCCAGCACAGTGTGTAAGTTTATTTAGGTACAGTACACATAAGTATAATTATCAGAGTATACTATATAAAACATGAAATAACTTTAAAATACTTGAAATTTTGAAAAGTTTCCAGACATAATGGAGAGACAATATGCTCACTGAGAATGGAAACAAACCGGGTGGGGTGTGGTGGCCATATAAGAAAGTCAGGTGGGGGAGCCATATAGCGAGTTTTGGTCATAATTTGAAATTCTGTATTAGCAGAATGCCTTAAGGCAAAACAATATAAAGCGGAGTCTCAGAATGAGTCTCTATCTTTTACATGCTATAATGGGATTCCTATGTGCGATATTCACCATCAGTCAGGATTGCATGTATTGCAAAATATAATAATAATGTTTATCTCTTTATGCCATACAGATGTGTATTTTAAATGAATTAATAAAATGGAAGGCACAAAAGAAAGCCACTAATTATGCAATCCATTTCAGGCAACTAATAACAAGATACCAAATATTTTGTGTAAATGTAAAAATATCACTAAGATGATGTTGATCACATGATAAATTAGCTGCAAGCCTTATATCTAGTAATGTCTCTGGAAAAATGAAGAACAATAGGGAATATGGTTATAAAATACTCTTTAGCATAAACAAGGTAGAATTGAATCAAGAATAGGAAGGTGTGGTTGGAAATTTCACACATAGGGTGCAGGACTGACTGAAAATAATGTACTTCAACATATGAGTGGTAAAGAAGAGGAATGAACTTAACAGTGACTGTAGAAGCAGACTTTATATACAGGTTCAAAAGTAGATATGATAAAGCTTTGATGTGTCATTTGGTATAAAGTTAAAGAGGTAGGACTAAGAGCTAGAGCCCACCTTCCCTATCTCTTACAATTCAAATAAGTAATTACAGTAGTAAACCCTCAATTTAATGTATGTACTTCAGAAATATGGGACAAAGTTCACTGCATCAGTTTGAATCTTGTCTCATCATCATCCTTTAAATCAAGTTTACCTAGGGCAGTTTGCTAAGCTATGTACTGACAAACTCTCTGAAATGAAATGCTGTACCCAACTTTAGATCCATATAACATTCAGTTAATGTAAAAATTAAACAAATAATACTTTTAATGTTTATCTATAGAGATATAGTTCATTTCAGGCTTTTGTAAGTTGACTGCATGCTTATCATGTCAGTATCTTTCATGACATACAGGAGATGCATGGGAAAGTAGCTACAGTATTAATAATACAGTAATTACTGATATTGTATTCAAGACTTAGCTCTGTTGTTGCTGTGTTTTAATATGCATGGTATGTCTTGTCTTGTTTGCTAGCAGACCGGGATGACACCAATATTCTTGTTAGTCTGTAATGCTGCTCAGAAATACTATGACAGACATGAGTTTGTTTCATGAATTACATGCCTTCTCTTTTTAATACTATCAACTGAAAAGTTGTTTGTTAAAACAGTAGATAAAACATGGTTAAAATAACATATACAGCTCTTGCTTCAAATTGTACTCTTGCCACCACAGAAAAATGTGTATAAATTTCAGACAACTATGTATTGCTATGTATTGTACTGTAATATTGAATATCTGTTAATATATCCATGCTAGAAACTCATGTTCTGCCATGTATTCCATTAACCACCATAATTACTGCATGTGAGCCATTTTCCTCATGTCACAAGTGTTTAAAATACAGATAATCCTCACTTAATGACACAGGTGCATTCCAAAACACCTGTTGTACACCTTTACTGTATTTGCTTCCTATAAACTTAATACTTAAGTGGAGATATATAGAACAAATTAATATACTGTGAAGATTCATAAAATACACAAAAGCATTACACATATGCCATTGTGGTGTATACAGAGAATAAGCACATTTGGTTAAAAACTAGGAAACCAGTAAAAAGAAAAATATAAGAGGAACACTCAGTAACATTAGTTGATTTCTTGGCATGATGAGATGAAATGTGATCTTTCTCGTAGCCATCATAATGCGGACATTTTTATAAAGTATTTTGATGAGTTTTTATGGATTTTCAATGTAAAAGCCATTAGAGTAATACATAAGGAAATAGAACTATGTAAATTTTTAGCATTGATTATAGCTCAGAATCAGAATCAGCTATATTGTATTATTTTAAGAAATGTTAAATGGATTTACTATACCCCATAAGTTTCTTTGATAAAGATTTCTATGTGGGTAACGCGAACTGTTACTCAGCTCACTTTTATACAGAGGTCCCGACACTATGCGAGCCTTGTGCTTACAGCATCAGATAAACTGAAATTTTCAGCACTTAATGACCTTTTGGAATTTGTGTTGGTTAAGGTAAAACTAAATATAATGTTGAAGCAAGGCTAAACTGGCATGTATGAGCCACAGGGCATCTTGATGCTTCAAAATAATGACTAGGAGAGTTTTTATCACCTAGCATATGAGCCTTGCCACTGTTCATTTGGTCTTCACAGGCCAACATCGGCTAACCTGGTGAGAGCCAGATGCTGTGATATTTTTTGTACTGTATCAGAACCAAGGGCATCATACAGTGAATGTATTCCCTATTGTTTCAACTAATAGTGCAAATATGAGTCTCTTACATCAGAATGTTGTTAAGTGGGTATTAACAGTATTTTAATTATGTCATTTTTCTCATTCGATTATTTTGCATTCTTCTCTTAAAATAATACACTAGAGGATTCTGCATTCTTCTTTCAGAACGATCGCCAATAGGATTCTTATTCACTTGCACAGAGGAACATGGTGATAACTCATCCTTGAATGTGGTTCTAGTGACACTCTCTTTGCTTGTACGAAGCCTTTATATTTACATTTACAGTTATGGTAAACCAACTTTCTCTACTTATGGTCTTGGCCGACACCTGCCTTCAAGTAATCAGCATTATTTGCCACTACCACGTCCACCTGGGGCACGACCCCTACCTCAGCTTCCATGGCAGGGCTCTCATGTTCCAAGGTAGGACTTGGTCATAGAACAGTATTGATATACACTGTTTTTGTTTATCACTGCATATGGGATGCATGAGGACTACTATTTTGGTCAGAATCTATCATTTCTGAAGAGTAAGTTAATTAGAATCTGTTACTCTGTCAGGAAAGTACAGGTATTTATTATTTCCACTTACTTGGCCAGTGTCAAATTAAAATAACAGCTATAGAGAATAAATAGAATGTAATAATCACCACTTGCATGATACAAACTAATAACAAATTTCCTTCCACAGCAGTTTTGACAGATTCAGCAATCCCTACATGTACAGCTTTGGCCGACCCTTGTCTTTGCACGGGTAATCTAGATGAATTAACTGGTATAAATGTTGGGAGTTTGCTTGAATTATGTGCAGTATTGTTGGTGTATTTGTGGTTTGGTACTTGAATATATTAGAGGCAGCTCAGTATTAATTAAGCTTAAATCACACTGAACTATCATATTATATTTTCTGATAAAATAAATTAAAATAAAATAATTTATTTAGAGTTATTGTTGAGCTCATTAAATTATAGATAGGATGTACATTTCTTCAGTTTACTACTTGTTTCTCATGTTACATGAACTTTGTATTAGGGTCATGGGATTAAGCTTGTGTATCTATGTACTATGTTGTCTTGAACAAATACAATCTCAACATTGATCTTTTATTACAGCATATTACAGGTCAGCCATCACTAATCTGGCAATCAGTTATCCTGTTTCATCAGTAATCCGGCACTAATTTCGGCTAGCATAATTTCAAATTTCATCATTATACTGACTCAGATCGTTATACTGACTCAAATTTCATTATTATACTGACTCAAAAATTGTGCAGATGGTTGTAAATCCACAGCAGTAAGCCAGTGGAGGAGAAAGCAGTGATGAAGAGGAAGATGTAGCAGAAAGAGTATTGATAGGTTAATTAGGTGTATTCTAACCTAACACTCTGTAATCCGGCAAACTCATTAATCTGGCACACTACAGGTCTCAATGATGCTGGATTAGTGATGGCCGACCTGTAGTAGAAGCTTCCCATTATCTCATTTATTATTTCAATTATAAGTATACTAATTTTAGGTGTTGCTCTTTAAGGCTTGTTCACTTTTGTATATATGCGACACTATACATGTATTTTACATTTTTTTAATACACCAACCATCTCCCACCAAGGCAGGGTGCCCTGAAAAAGAAGAAACACTTACATACATACATACATACATGCACATATGATGATACTGTGCTTATGGAAGATTCTAAAGAAAAATTGCAAAGGTTAGTGGATGAGTTTGGGAGTGTGTGTAAAGGTAGAAAGTTGAAAGTGAACATAGAAAAGAGTAAGGTGATGAGGGTATCAAATGATTTAGATAAAGAAAAATTGGATATCAAATTGGGGAGGAGGAGTATGGAAGAAGTGAATGTTTTCAGATATTTGGGAGTTGACGTGTCGGCGGATGGATTTATGAAGGATGAGGTTAATCATAGAATTGATGAGGGAAAAAAGGCGAGCGGATTGCTTAGCTTGCACAAATTAACTTGGGAAGATTGCCTTCTACATGGTTTACTGCAACTTTACTTTCTATCAAGAAATATAACTTAGTAATTTAGTGAGAGTTTTCATAGGCCTTCTTGTAGGCAAAAGACTCATGTCTTTTACCTAAAACTTGTTGGCATCTCCACAGCACTTCCACCATAGGCCTTCTTGCAGGAATCCTTTATACATATTTTTTTTTGCATTTTACTCTACAGAACTCTTATTGGTGGTAAGTAAGACACATAGGCAATATTTAGGCATCTTTATTCCGAAACGTTTCACCTACACAGTAGGCTTCTTCAGTCGAGTACAGAAAGTAGGCATAAGTAGCAGAGATATGAAAACGATGTAATCATTCCATCACCCTTGAAGATGTTTCATACTATGAAACAGAATTCTTCTCCAGGCTGAGGGACTGACAACCTCAAATTCTACAACTTCAAGGGTGATGGACTGATTATATCATCTTCATATTTCTGCTGCTCCTGTCTACTTTCTGTACTCAACTGAAGAAGCCTACTGTGTAGGCAAAACGTTTCAGAATAAGAATGCATAAATTGCCTTCGTGTCTTACCAACTTGTCGGTATTGTATACCATATTGATATTCAAAACTCTTATTACTGACTTTCTGTTACATAGGTAAATCCTTTGATATTTCTTCCTTAACTTGATATCTATATATGAAGAGAGTCAGATTTTCTACCAGTATTAATTTTATTTCTGTATTTACTGAGCTAGTGGTATAGTAAACCATTAATGTGTAGGCACCAGGTCTGGCTGGATATACTACAAAGTACAGTGGACCCTCGACTAACGATATTAATTGATACCCGAGAACGAATATCGTTAGTCGAGTTTTTTAGCGTTAGCCGAGGCAAAATGTTAGCGTTAAAAGTATTGTTAGCCGGATTTAACGTTAGTCAATGCCATCGTTAGTCGAGGGTCCACTGTACTAACAATGATGTACAAATAGAAACTATGTGTCACAGTAGGCTTTACTTATAAAGATAGTATCTGAAATGGTTTTCTTTGTGTTTACAGTTTCTTAACATTAAGATTTGAGCAGATTGCTTTGGCTTTCTCTTTGATGCTTAATTGTATATACCTCTGTAAGATAAGCCATGAGGGGTGGAAATCTTTAGCTCAAGCACTTTCACACTTCTCAGTGCATCATCAAGAGCTGTGCAATATTGCAAGGGCAACAACAGGAGAAATAAGGTAAGTTTTCTTGGAGTATGGTAGCATGGTGGCACCAGCCTCTGACTGAGCAAGGGGCAGAATGCCAACCACACACTGGTCCCCCTCACACCCCACCCCATATGGGGTCGGGTGGAGTAGGCCCCAGTTTGCAGATAGCATGAGGTGAAATAACTAGAAGATAGTTACTAGCCAGCCCTAAGCTTCTAACTGCTGGGAACAGGTCATGCCATGTAAGAAGTTACATTACAATAGTGGATCATTTACGTACAGAATGCAGCTTATGTGAACAACTTCTAACTAATGAAACAGAGAGAATAAATCCCTTATTTTGTCAACCAGTGTCACAGAACATTCCAGAATGTTCAGGAAATACTCTGCGTCTATTAATATGCTTGTGTGAATTAACATATTCAGGCTTTTCTTTCTTATAACAACTGGGCAATGCCTGATTTTTAACACCATTACCATCATTATTATCCACTATCATCTGCTAGTATCATTATTATTATCATTATCATGAATCTAGGGTCAAAAGGAGTGTTTTCCTTAGTGTTCCTGAGAGCTTTGTGTATCTGTAGTCCTGAGTATTTAGATGATAAAATCAACAAGATATTTAACATAACCACAAAACTGAGATACCCCAAGGATTTTGTTGAGAAGGTCCGCTTGTCAACTAGGAGCATTTTCTACAGGACAACCTAAGGAAATGCCCAACAGGAAAAATGTATTGGTCTTGCCATACAATGAAAATTTGGTCTGCCTGTATGAGGCACTAAAAGAACTCAATATAAATCTGACTTTCAAAAACACTAGGACAGTGAAACAGAGATTGATTAAAAAAAACCTCCTAATAATTTGGGTGGTGTCTACAAGGTCCCATGTACTCTTTGCCCATTCTCAAACATTGGTCAGACAGGTAAATCTCTGGAAACTAGATTATATTATCCCAATACCAGCACTCAGTCAGGACAGGCCAGCTGTCAAATGCGATCTTTAACCACATCAGCTCTTGCAATCACCCACTGGGGCGGGCTGCTACCCAGATAATTGTACCCAACAGTTCCATCATAGAAAAAAACATGATTGAGTCCTCCCTCTTGAAACATGAGAGGAATGCCGTATATAACTCAAATTATGGGCTGTACAAGCTCGATAGTTATTTAGTCGAGTCCATTGTGCACAGCCTTAAACAACAATGTTATACAAAGGCACAGGACTGCTCCTTATGCCAGGGGGTTTCGTGATGTTTCGGTTATGTTCAACCAGAGTCTGCAAACTGAACATCATGGTACGTATAACATTCTCAGCTACAACATCAGTAGTAAGGAAATAGGTATGGGGGTTTATTTAGGTATGGGTGCATATGTGCGATAATCCTAGGATAGCCCAAAAGAAATGCAGAGTGACCTTTTGAGGTCCTAACCCTTCTAAGTAGAGTGGTACAAGGTACACATAGGTGATTGCAACTAGTTTAGTGGTTTGCTGAATTAGGTTGTTAGTAATATTATAATGACAATAATAATGATATTACCAGATGATAGTGGATAATAATGATGGTAATGGTGTTAAAAATCAGGCTTTGCTCAGGTGTTGTAAGAAAGAAAAGCCTGAATATGTTAATTCACACAAGCATATTAATTGACACAGAGTATTTCCTGAACATTCTGGAATGTTCTGTGACACCGGTTGACAAAATAAGGGATTTATTCCCTCTGTTTCATTAGTTAGAGGTTGTTCACATTAGCTGCATTCTGTATGTAAATGATCCACTATTGTAATGTAACCTCTTATGTCACATGACCTGTCCCCAGCGGTTAGAAGCTTAGGGCTGGCTAGTAACTATCTTCTAGTTATTTCACCTCATGCTATCTGCAAACTGAGGCCTACTCCACCCGACCCCATATGGAGTAGGGTGTGAGAGGGACCGGTGTGTGGTTGGTATTCTGCTACCCTCGCTCAGTCAGAGGCTGGTGCCACCATGCTACCATACTGCGAGAAAACTTACCCTATTTCTCCTGTTGCTACCCTTGTAACACTGCACAGCTCCTGATGATGCACTGAGAAGTATGAAAGTACTTGAGCTAATGATTTCCACCCCTTCTTGTATTGTTAAGATCGCCTGTGTGTGTGTGTGTGTACTCTCCTAATTGTGGTTGCAGGGGTCGAGACTCAGCTCCTGGCCCCCTCTTCATTGATTGCTGCTAGGTCCTCTCTCTCTCTGCTCCCTGAGCTTTGTCGTACCTAGTCTTAAAGCTGTGTATGGTTCCTGCCTCCCCCTACATCACCTAGCTCCCTTGCAGTGCTCCCCTGTCTTTATATTTGACTGGCTCCTCCTCCTTAGTTCGCCGCCGCCGCTGCTGCTGCTGATAATAATAATAATAACAACAATAATAATAATAATAATAATAATAATACTACTACTAATACTACTACTACTAATACTACTACTACTAATACTACTACTACTAATACTACTACTACTAATACTACTACTAATACTACTACTAATACTACCACTACCACCACCACTACCACCACCACTACCACCACTACCACCACCACCACCACCACCACCACAACTACCACTACCACCACCACTACCACTACCTCTTCCTGCCTATATATAGCCGTCCTGCTCCACTTCTGGTTAGTGTGACTTTTTAAGTGGTCCAAGTCGGACCGAAACGTCGTCGTAAGCTCCTCTCTTCTATTTGCGGGTTATTTGTGTATCGTTCCAGTCACGGTATTGTGCCTTTTTTTGTTATTTATCTCCATCACTTGTTAGACTATTCCACTTCCTGACAACTCTGACTGAAGAAATACTTCTTAACATCCCTTTGACTCATCTGAGTCTTCAGCTTCCAAATGTGACCCCTTGTTTCTGTGTCCCCTCTCTGGAACATCCTGTCTTTGTCAACCTTATCTATTCCATGCAGTATTTTGTATGTCGTTATCATGTCTCCCCTGGCCCTCCTGTCCTCTAGCGTCGTCAGGCCGATTTCCCTCAACCTTTCTCCGTAGGACATTTCTCTGAGTTCTGGAACTAACCTTGTTGCAAACCTTTGCACTTTCTCTAATTTCTTGATGTGCTTGACCAGGTGTGGGTTCCAGACTGGTGCTGCATACTCCAGTATGGGCCTGACATACACAGCATACAGTGTCTTGAACGATTCCTTACTAAGGTATCGGAACGCTATTCTCAGGTTTGCCAGGCACCCATGTGCTGCAGAAGTTATCTGGTTGTGTGCATGTGTGTGTGTACATGCATGCATGCTCCAGTTCCCTAAATTAAGCCTGAATATCTTTCATCCCCTCCCCCCACAGGTGCTGTATAATCTCTATGGGTTTAGTGCTCCCCATGATTATAATATAATAACACACATTAGAGAGCAACATCTCAGCTATCTTTTTTGCAGCGCTGTATAGCCCTTGTGGTTTAGCGCTTCTTTTTTATTATAATAATAATAATAATCTGCTATTTTTTATACAACCTCTACTCACTTAACGGTGGAGTTCCGTTCCTAAGACCTCGTTGGTAAATGAATTCGTCGCTAAGTGAGGAGCATACTGTAATGGTAGTGGGTTTGTGGAAACCATCTTTGGTATTGTTTTAACGTCACAGTTGCACCATTTATAGCATTTCTGGTATATTTTTAAATGTTTATACAGTAGTGTACTGTATATTGTAATAAACACAATAGAGGAAATCAGCTCTAATATACATTATTTAGGTATGCATACTGGTCAGAGAACCCGTCGTAAGTCCGAGTCGTTGGTAAATGAGTATGTTGCTAAGCAAGGAGAGGCTGTACTTATTATATTAATCAATGTTCATAATGCACAATTAATTTTAGTGAATCACTTTGATTGCCCAGGGGCCCACCCATATAAAAATAGAAATCCCCTCGATTTGGATGAAACATATTTCTTTTCTATTACTCTGTTGTCTCTTTAAAAAGTTTCTATTTTTCCCTTCATTATTCTTACTTTTCTACTTACATTGCCTTGTTAAGGCAATATAAACACCTTAATTGCATTTCACACTATACTCAAGTGATAAATATTACACACATTAGCCAAAACAGGATTCAGGACCTCTGTAAATGTATGAGGATCATTCTCAGTTGGGCTGTCAACTTATAAAGCCTCTGAAAGAATGAGATACCAAAGGTGTACATACATAAAAAAGGCTGATAATTTATAGGACATGCCATACAAGGGCAAACTTTTGTGTCAAGTAATGCTTTACTCTAGATGAGCAAAATGTTGTCATTTGTAAAAGCTGTTTTTATGTAAGCATTTCTCTTTGTTTTGCTGGAAACCCATACCCTGCTTCCAGATAATAAGCTATCATATACAACTTAAATTTGTGTTAAAAAATTGGTATGGGTTTAGTAATGCTATATATTTTTTTTTTTTCAACAAGTTGGCCGTCTCCCACCAAGGCAGGGTGACCCAAAAAAGAAAGAAAATCCCCAAAAAGAAAATACTTTCATCATCATTCAACACTTTCACCACACTCACACATTATCACTGCTTTTGCAGAGGTGCTCAGAATACAACAGTTTAGAAGCATATATGTATAAAGATACACAACATATCCCTCCAAACTGCCAATATCCCAAACCCCTCCTTTAAAGTGCAGGCATTGTACTTCCCATTTCCAGGACTCAAGTCCGACTATATGAAAATAACCGGTTTCCCTGAATCCCTTCACTAAATATTACCCTGCTCACACTCCAACAGATTGTCAGGTCCCAAGTATCATTCGTCTCCATTCACTCCTATCTAACACGCTCATGCACACTTGCTGGAAGTCCAAGCCCTTGCCCACAAAACCTCCTTTACCCCCTCTTTCCAACCCTTTCGAGGGCGCCCCCTACCCCTCCTCCTTTCCCCCTATAGATTTGTATGCTTTCCATGTCATTCTACTTTGATCCATTCTCTCTAAATGACCAAACCACCTCAACAACCCCTCTTCTGCCCTCTGACTAATGCTTTTATTAACTCCACACCTTCTCCTAATTTCCACACTCCGAATTTTCTGCATAATATTTACACCACACATTGCCCTTAGACAGGACATCTCCACTGCCTCCAACCGTCTCCTCGTTGCTGCATTTACCACCCAAGCTTCACATCCATATATATAATGCTATATACCTACAATATTTATTCCCATTTACAATTGCAAATGAAAAATTTTAAGTCATAGTGTAATTGTAAAAAACAAACAGGACATCAGTACAGGGAATGTACTTTTTTGTTATAATTTGATGCATACTTTCAATGTAATTTTTTTCCCACCAGTACAACATCAAGCTTCAAAAACGAGTCTCTTCATGGATCCAATCCACAGTTAGCAGCAAGCAGTGTTACCACTGATTCAACTTTAGAGATGAAGAAAGAGTTAGACTTGGCAAGGGATACTCAAGACCCACACCTTACTGCAACTTTACCAAGAGATCAAGCAGCACCTTTCCACTATGTTTCTGCAGATGTTCTATCAGGCAGACAGTCAAAAACTCCTTCAGAAGTCTCTGAAGATTACTTTTCTCAAGGTCGATCACAAAGTCAACCATTAGAAACAGCAATGTAAACATTACAAAACCTATGTCTTTGTTTATAATTAATATTCTATAATTCTTTTAATGATTGTCCTTAGTAAGGCAAGTTTACTACAGTGCAAGGACCAGCTGGGATTTTATAACAAGCATGTGGCTATATATAATAAGAAGTCATTTCTCAACTGTTCTTCCTCAGATTTCGGATTTCCTTATCTGGCATCCACAAGTTTAGGTGCTTTGTTTTATTCCATAATGCCCATTATCTATGACTTGTTGGTGTAATGGCCTTATCTATGAGCCTGGTTCCCAGAACTTAATTTTTGAAAAGTATTTTGGCAGTACGTATTCCTTTAGAGGACCTGTTTACCATGACTGATACAAAATATTGCAAAATTCTCAAATACCATGTTTAGGCATAGGGGCTTGGAATGACTTCCCCTTTACTCAGGAAATATTGGTTCTCTATCTGCAGATTCACTAGCCATGAAAAATTCATCATGAATTCTGAGGGAGTACGATATTTCACTTTACAGTGTTGGCAAGTGAAATACAGTCCAATTGCTAGGTAATATGGTTTTGCACATAATTAATAAAGCAGTTTTTCAACCAGACTGTATACTGCATGAGCATTGTTTTATCAGGTGCAGGAAATGAGAAATGAATTGCCTTTATAATTTGTAATTTAGGTAAATTTATTTCACATGTTAAGAAAACTAAGAGGAATCTTTAAATGATGAAAATGTTGATGCATGAAACTGAAATTCATTTTACAAGCACAGTGTTCTACCTGTACATTAGCTTATAAAACCTGAGTTTTGGTACATGTAAAGTAGAAACTAAATGATTTTCATCGACTACTTACTGAACAGGCAAATGAATTTTTTTTTATTATATACATTTCTTAATGTCACTATGAAAGTCATTCCAGTTGGTAAAATTCTTCATTTTATCAAGTGACTTTCATAGTGATATTAAGCAAATATCTATACAAAAAATTAATTACACAAGAATAGTTTATTCATCTGCATTACTAATCCATAACTAAGTTATACAATAACATGAAACAGTAATGACCAGCTGATAAGATAGAGGAATAATGTACAGTATTTTTAAAGCAGTTTGTGCCCACAGGCACTGCCCTCAGTAAAACCTTAGCTAAAGTGTGTCAGTGGGAACCATAACTTTTGAAAATATATCTTTCATTCATAATTTTTTTATTAGAACTAACTCTCTTATGTCATTTTTAATTAACAACTGAAGAATTATTCTGAAAAAAAAAATCATAAAAAATTTAATAAATTGTGTATTGAAAACAATAAAAAACTAATACATGGTAGTATTAGAAATAGGCACTGTGATAATGCTACAACCAGATGCATAGCTGAATATTTAAAGCTTCATATAACCCATGAACAAATTGGGATTTAGTATTTTAGATTAAATGTTCTTTATGGAAAACATAAGTTAATTTAAGCTGTAAAGAAATTTCACAGAAAAGCTTCCATGAAGCCATCGTTACTAAACTGTATTATTCCCATACACTAA